TGCGCTCGTCTCCGTGCCGCTCCGTCCCTGCGCCGCTCTCCTGCGCCTCTCTCATGGCCTCTCCCCTGCGCTCTCTCCCAGCGCCTGTTCCAGCGGTCGTCCTCCGGTCTCTCCCAGGCGTCTCTCCAGCAGCCTCCTCGTCCACCGCCTCTCCCCATGCATCGCTCTTCTTGTCACTTTCCCCAATCATACTCACGTTCACTCTCCTGTATTTCTCTCTCCTGTCATGGTATTCGGTCACTTCTCCTTGTATCTCATTGCTCCTCTTTTGCCTCTTCCAGAAGTTCCAGTAATCTCCCCCTGTCATCTATTCGTCCGGCATTTTCTCCCACACACCCTCCATCCTGCTTTAAAATGTCTGTGCGTAATTCTAGTGACAACTGCAACTGTTATTACCAAAATGAAAATACCTTTGACCCAATCTCACTTACTAGGCCTTACATTTTTGTTTCTATATGATTCTCATGCTCCCCACCCTTCACATGTCTTTCTCCTCCCTATCTCTCCTTCCATTCTCCTTCCCTTCTTCATTCCTTCTCAATCTTCCGCACCACGGTCTCCTTACTTCACTCTTCTTTCTCATTCATTTCTTCCTCTGATTCACTCTCACTCCTCCTCTGCTTTCCAGCATTCCTCTTCCTTCCCACGCTCCTCCTTCTCTTTCCTTCCCACCCCACTCGTGCCTCTCACTCTCCTTCGCACTTTCCTCTTTCTTTTTTCACCCAACCTTCCTTGTATTCTTCTTTGTTCTCTCCTCGTCTTTCCTCCCGGTTGCCTCCCTACTTTCTCCTCTCCCGCCTTCGCGCTTCTGCTTTCTTCCGCGTCCCTCTTCCACTCCATGTGTAATGTTGTTTTTATTTTTGGTTCTATGGAGGAATATATGCAGTATGTGTGTGGTACTTTTGTTGTTTAATTTGAAAACTTGAGATTCAGTAATGTTAAAATAGATCTTTCAGTTAAAATAGTATCAAACACCAACCATTTAAAAATTGTAAATGATTACTGCTAACCTCTTGCTAATTATTGTATTTATTGGTTTCTTGAATTTATTTGGTTTCTTAAGATGTGCTACTAAACATTGCCTTGATGTGTGATAAGTAACATGCGTCATAGATTAATAACTTGTATCTTACTCTGATGACAAGCATTCATCGTGCTGTTCACATAAGGTAAGTGTTATTGTATGACTGTTATTCATGCATTTCTAGAAAGAATTTGTGTGCCGGGTTGAGAGGTACCGAAAAATGTGGTAATGAATTTGTAATTCTTTTGTTCGTTTGTTTTTTGCAGCTTTTCTACTTAGCGGCAAATGAAAACTATTCATTTGTAGGACTAAAATTGGAGGGTGTTTTGGAAGTAAGTAATGCCATATTGATAGACTTTTTCAGATTTTGTGTTTGATTATGTTATTTCAGAAGATCAATTTACGCACCATAATAGATGGTGCAGTTTTGCCAGAAAGCAAGTCCTTGCAAACCTATTATGCATAGCTTACCCTGTGTTTGGCTTCATCATAGAACTCTAGTATATTGGTGGGGTCTTATATCAGCTCTCAAATTGATTATGCGCTTATTGAAGCTTGGAGAAAAAAGCTGATGCAGACCCAATGATGATTATGTGTAATATCCTACTCTATCATGATAAGGTAGGTAGTTGAGTAAATAATGCATTTTTCATTATTTTTTGATTTAGTTATTTTTCATATATTGTCATATAATTACTTTTGCGGAGTTAGAAATTTAGTTAGTTGCTTAATTTTCATTTTTCAGCTGTGTGTAGGAAAATTGTTTGAGATGAATGAAAGGTTAATACTGAGAACAAAATTTACAATTTTTCTTGCCCACAAGTTTATACACTTTCCTGGAAGTTTTGGAAAAGTATATTGTGGAGATGGAGGGGAATTATATTATGTTCAATAGAAGATTGACTGCAAAAGTGTTTGTTCATTATTTGAGGGTATGATTTTGCCTAATTATTAATTTCATGTTTTGTATTAATTATGATGAGTTTGTTTAACTTCTTATAAATCTAGTCGTAGTAATATTTTGTATATCAGTTTTTTTCTATTAATACTTTCTGTATATTTTTTTTTTTGGAGAACAAATTATTCAATAGATAAGTTAATTTATGTACGGCATATTTAATGAAGAAGTGATTAGACATTCCCTATTTTTCAGAGAACCTTTTGAGAATTTTTTAAAATGCTTAACTGATTCTGCTATTTAGTAAAATTAGGAGGGGATATCAATATTTATCTCATTCTTTAAAGTAATGCATAATTCTGGTTTTATACATATCCTTTTCATTTCACACTTAATATAGTTTTTCTTTTGGTCTACGCTGATACTGCATCATTTCACAACTTGTTTATCCTGCCCGGCTAAACGTTTTGTACTTTGGAGTTGTGTATGCTTTATCGCGACGCAACCTAAGAAGTATACATTATGAATAGAATTTTTTCTGTACACTCTGTTTGTGGGCCTCCTTGATTCTTTAAAATTTTTTCTTGGTTTTAATAGAATAGTACTTTGAATTCTCATTTGTATGATTGAGGGTGTATGTCCTCCTTTTTGCCAGCTTAATAATATGAGAGAGAAACAAGTTTTTTTAGAGAGGATTTTGTTACTTTTTTATCATTCGATTTTTATACCACACGTGAGTTTTGATAAGGATTATAATAGGAATTTATAGATAAACTTTTCTTTTTTTTTTCTCCTTTCTTTCTTCTCTTTCTTTCTTTCTTTCTCTTTCTTCTCTTTCGGTCTTATCTCTTTCTCTCTTCTCTCTCTCTCTCTCTCATTGTCTTTCTCGTCTTTCTTTTTTTCTTTTTTTCCTCTGAAGCGTGTTGTTCACCCAGCATTTTGCTTTTCTAGAATGGAAAAGTGTATTAAAAAATATATCCTAAGCCTACTATGCTTAATCTGTGAATATAACAACCTTTATTAATTGAATGAAACTATTTTAGGGGAAATTCTCGTCTTAATGTTTGGGTAAATATGGTTTTATTATTGTCTTTGAGTTTCTCAGCGTGCTGTGACTTTTTGTGAAGTGATATTATGTACTACCTCAAGATGATAAAAATGGAACCATTTATGCATTTTATTATTTTTATTTTGCAGGCTGAGTGAGCCAGTTAGACAATTAAAATATGTTAGAGCAGATTTGTTGTAGTTTTTCAGAAAAAAATATGATTTTTCAAGAAGAAGGATCGCTGGAGAAGAAATGGAATGCGCCAGGCAATTGGAAAAGTGAGTGTTCAAATTGATTAATTTTCTACTAGTGTATTGATTTTGAGAAGCTTTCTTTTCTTTTTGTGTTTCTCCTCAAATTGATTGAATTGTTCTTACTTTTCTAAGGTTTATAGTGGAATATTAATAATTTAATAATTTTATATTTTTAATGGCATGAACTTTCCTTTGGATGTATGTAATGCTTGGATGCCATTTCCTCAGCTTGCATTGGTGTGACACAATGATACTTATTTGTTGCCCCTATTTTACGGGTCATGAGTGCCAGGGGTTCATTAATTATTTGTAACAAGAAATGTTGAATCAACTCTAACATGCTTTTATCCAGTTTTGATTTGTGTATAAAGTTTTGCAAAGACTTTTGTTTGTTAAATAACAGGAAAGGATTGGAAATTTAAAAAAACTGTTTTAAGTTTGTATATCTTTGTTTTTGTACAGGTTACAAAGCGGGAATATATTGTGTAGAATCAGATGTTTTGGAAAGAAGGAATTGATATTACCTCAGTGTAAGGCTTGTTGTAAATTTGATGCCCCAAGAATAGGTCATATATTAATCAAAAGGTCGAGCTGGCACAAAAAGAGCAATTTTGGTAGTGAGCTCATTCAAAGAAAGAGGCGCTCAATTTCTGGAGATTGAAAGGATTATCAAGATGGGATTGAAAATGATTTTAAGGAGGGTAAGTTTTGTTAAAATCTTCAATATTCTTTCCTCCACAATGCCTACTTTTAGAAAGACAATGATTAGAATCATCTTAATAATGCATCAGAAGGTCACCCAAAATTATGCTCAGATATTGGTTGAGTATTTCAATCCCGAATCACCCATATCCCTGATATGCTGTTGTCTGTTTGAATCTTCTGCAAATAATTATGTATATTGTGTAACCTCCCCCACCCTTTTTTTTTTACAATGGAGTAAGTTAAATATTATCAGATGTGAAAAATTGTATTCATATTATTTTGTGTGATTTATAACAAAAATGTTAGATAGTTTTTTTATAAAAGCAATCTACAACACTGCATAGGTTATGACGTGCTATGGCAATTTAGGGTTAAACATTAGTCAAGTTCAAAAATTGAACCATTTTTGTTTTTGTATCAAAAGGACTTTTTAGCAGTGAGGGCCATTGTGTGTTTGACACTGATTTCTGATTATTTAATAAGGTAGATATTTTATTTTTTTCTCCTTCTTACTATGTTGTAAAGTGGATTAAGTGAATAACTGCTCAGAGTTCTGGGACATTTATCATACAATCTTTATTTCCAGAAATTTTGAAATTCAATACTAAATTGTAATATTAAACAATATTGAAATACGAGAGAGAATACAGAGAACGAATGAAATATTAAGTCGCGATATTTACTTAGTTTATAAGAGTTTTGGCATATTGATTTTTTATTTCACAATAAACTTCCTATTCACAATAGCATGCCAGTAGAAGTAGGTTCTTCCCATGTGCTTTCTCCTGGAATGCTTCATATCACTGATGGGTGTAGTTTTTTATTTATCAACGGAGATAAGGAAGTTTACTTATTTTCAAACCAATGTTTTCTTCTATTTTA